CGGGAGGATTTCAGGGAGGGCGTACACATGATTTCAGGAGTGGCGGCCCCCTCGTTGAGAACAGTGATTAACCTGCTGTCGTTCTTCCTCTGTAAGCATTTTCTGCTTCCTAGACGACGGCCACGGAAAGTTCGCCACCTTGCGACGCATGTCACACTCGTACACTCTGTCCAGCTGCTTCAAAATTCTCTGCCTTAGCACATTTTCCAAATGGTCCTCACAGAGCTTTTTGCAATGATTCGAGAGAATGGCTTTAGAGAGGGACACTAGCTGCAGGGTAGGGGTCTTATCGGCCTGTAATTTGACTTACTCGGGCTTGAAAGGTGTCAGGAGGTCTATGAATACTCCAAGTCTCTCCTTCTTCAACCTGCGCTCTGTCAGAGCAGTTGAGAGCTAACAGAACAAGAACGATTATTTACAGGGACAATTTACGATATTTTCACAATTTTGAAGTTGCAACGGGGAAGGAAATTTATATAGGCATAGTCGTAAATTGGCGACATCGAAAAGCCGCTAAGACACATCATGCAGCGTTCATGTAGCGAGCGTGAGAGCGGGGTCGCCTACCGTCGATAACCCAGGTGCCTAATGGTAATCCGCCCTCACGCCTGCGTGCGGTATAGCATAAGAAATTAAAGACGAAGCATGGAAACATTTTGGTCAGAACTCTCGTTACATATTTTAACTTACCTCGTCCTAGTTTTCGTAGATGGACTCCATCATCTCAAGAGACGTATTCCACCTCACGTCAAACTCAGGTTTCAGAGCACTCTTGAGTGCGCCGTTCATCGTGGAATTTTTTACATGGTGTTACGTGAGCTTTTAAATAATGGTGCACATGAGCATACTCAAGAGTTACAAACTGCTCGCGCCAATGTTCCTTCAGATTTGAAACCAAGGGGATATCGGAATAGTAGTATGAGTGCCTTCCTGTCCCGGTCGGCCATCTTGGTGCCTTAATGTCCCGGTCGCCATCTTGGGGGGCTCTAACTTAACCTAACCTAATTTTGGGGGTACCTTGGGGGGTGCCTAACCCCGTACCTAATTTTGGGGGTATCTTGGAGGGGCCTAACCCCGTACCTATTTTTTAACGGTGTCTTGGGGGACTCTAACTTAACCTAACCTATTTTTAACGGTGTCTTGGAGGGGCTTAACTCCTACCTAAGTTCGGGGTGCTAACCCACCCCTAAAAAAATCGAGGATCGACGAAGGGGTGCGAACCCACCCCTCTAAAAAATCGAGGATCGACGAGGGGTTGCTAACCCACCCCTAAAAAAATCGAGGATCGATGGAGGGGTTGCTAACCCACCCCCCTCGAAAAATCGAGGATCGATGGAAGGGCGTAACACAACCTAAGCGTGACACGTCACGACACGTAAGTCAAGGGTGGCAACATAACCTAACGAGGATCACTGACACGTAAGTCAAGGGTGGCAACATAACCTAAGCGTGACACGTCACGACACGTCACGGCGCGTATGGGTGATACAAAACCGTGATGCGACACACACATAAGCAAGATGTCAGGATGGCCGAGTGGTTAAGGCGCCTGCCTCAAGTGCAGGTCCCACTTGTGGGGGACGAGGGTTCGAATCCCTCTCGTGACATTTTGAATTTCCGCGCGCGCGTGAGTATGAGAACGTTTGTGGAGAGCCGCGAGCGAAGCGGCAATCGGCATGGCAACGCTGTAGCGCGGGAGGCGACGCATCCTTTCCCGCCGCGAGACTCTACCCCCACCACGGCACGCTCGCCCCTCCACAGCCCCGCCACCGCTCCCCGCGGCTCGCCGGCAGCGCGTCGCGCCCGCGCAGCGCTCAGTCGTTTGTGAGTCGTTGTCGACGAAAGAGCGCGTAGCGATGGCGGGCAACATTGTAGTTTTGGTGGACTTGACCGGCGACGACGAGGAAGTTGATGTTATCAACGTAACGGGGGACACCATCGTGTTGAACGATGACACGCTCGAGGATGAGGTCATCGCTGAATACGTAAGTACCAGTTCATCAAAAGTGTTGCGCAATCCGATTGATAACGGTTTTTAAAACGTGAATCTTTGTGACGCCCTTCCTCCAATCTTAATGTTAAGTGCGTTTTATTCGCACATGGTAAAAAGATTGAAGTAAGGATGTCGATTTTTTAGTGCCCGTTCGTGGCCTTGACGACTTCGCAACAGCCCCAATGGCTCGTGTTTTATAGCCCGTACGGGTCCTGGTGAGTCCTCATCAGTATGAAAAGGTTTTTTCACCAGTGTGTGTGTGAAATGGCTTTCTCACCTGTGTGTGTCCAGAAGTGTGTGTGAAACTCTTGTGCATGTCTATCGCTACGCTACGCCACGCCACGCCAACGGCTTATTTTTAGTTTTCCTGGAATCGAGACGGTGCGCGAGGGGGAGGGGAGGGGGGGGACGCTTGGTGCTCGGCCTGGCTTGTTCAACGAAAATCTTCACTTGTTTTAACTTGTCGGGGAATAGTCTAGATGCGACGCGCCTGCGCCGAGCCGCGCCGCGCCGTGCGGCGCCGTGCGGCGCCGGGGTGTATGTCAGATTCTCAGAAACGGTCCGCCTGAGTTGGGCCAGGGGGAGGGGAGGGGAGGGGCCACCCACTGGTTGGTGTTGGCTTGTTCAACGAAAATCTTCTCGAATCTTCGCTTTTTTAACCTGTCGGGGAATACTCTACAAGCGACGCGGTTGCGCCGCGCCGAGCAGCGCCGCGCCGAGCAGCGCCACGACAACGGCGTATTTTTAGCTTTCCTGGAATCGGCTCGGCCGCGCTGCGTGAGGCCGCGCTGCGTGAGGGGGAGGGGAGGGCAGGGGCCCA